TACAAAAAATAAAAACTGCCCTTGGAACAACAGAGGAAGGTCTCAGAGCATTCCAAATAGGAGAAGAACACATAACGGAAACCATACATATAAGAGGCATGGCAGAGGATGCCACGACGGAGGAGGTTATCGAGGCATTCCAAGAGCAAATAGGTAAGTGGGAAGACCACTACAAGATAGGAAAGATGCGACCACTGAGGGGCAACACCCTTGCCACAACAATTGTCATCCCGGCGAGAGTAGCTAAAATACTTTTGCGCAGAGATTTCCTCAGAGTTGGGGTATGTAGATGCAGAGTCGAGAAAAGACTAAAAATAAAAAGATGTAGCAGATGTTGGGCATACACGCATGACACCGATAAATGTCGAGGCCCTGATAGGAGTGGTATGTGTTACCGTTGCGGTAAATCAGAGCACGAAGCAGAGAAGTGTCAAGAGGAAGAAAGGTGCGTTCTTTGTAATGACGCCCATAGAACTGGCAGCATGGACTGCACACATTTTAAGAAGGCCCTTCAGGAGGCGAGATATCATGAGAAACTTAGAAAACAGCAAGGAGAATACGCGGATGTCTTCCCTCCTACGCTCACTCCCATACCTCCTTTCCCTTCTCCAAACAAGGTTCATGTTAACTCCCTTTTGGAGTCCTCCAAATCTCTGTGCGACGAAGCTACAGCTACCTTTAGTGTAGTGACGTTGTCACAGGGAGTTCTGACAACTTCAGTCTAAGTGCCTGTTCCGTCATCCTATGTGACCTTTAACACATGATACTAAGGTAATGATTTCAAAATGGCTTTAACCGGGTTAAAAAGACTAAAAATTCTACAAGTGAACATCGGAAGAGCCAAGGTTGCACATGATCTGATTCATGCGAAAGCCCTCGAAATTGGAGCAGATATTCTAATAGTACCTGAACCAAACAAGAGAATCATCCAAAATAGCAGATGGATTACAGACAACAGGGAAGATGTAGCAATATACCCCATAAATCATAAAGTGTGCATAAATAAGATTATAAAAAGGGAGGGGCACGTACTAATCAAATTAGAAAAAGTAGCTATTATTGCCTGTTATATCTCACCCAACATAGGTAGAGATCAATACAAACAGCACATTGAATCCATAATACAAATGTCACATATAGAAAAGAATTTTATAGTCGCTGGCGACATAAATGCTAAATCTATCTTATGGGGTTCCCCACGAAATGACTATAGAGGGGATTTATGGAACGAATGGATCTCTACGGCCAATCTAACAGCGCTAAATAATGGAAAACCTACTTTTGTCCGGGGTGAAAGCCGAAGCCACATAGACATTACCCTCGTAAACGAAAGTTATGCCAATCAAATATCTAACTGGGACGTTCTTGACGAAAACATTTTTACTTTTCACAGATATATTGTTTACGAGATTGGCATCAAGGTCACGAAGAGCGGTAGGAAAAAGATAAGTTTTAACAAAGACCTATTTAAAAATAAAATTAGCAACCTACGAGAAGAAGCTACTAACTTCACAAACTACCATAAAAACCTAATACATGCATACAGAAGCAGCAGCAAGGAAAAAAGTGTCACATATACTGTACCCTATTGGTGGAACGACGAGATACAGCTTAAAAGAACAAAATGTTTCAGAGTCAGGCGAATAGCACAAAGGAACAGGACCCAAGAAAACTTGGAAGAATATAAGCGCGTAAAGAAAGAACTAAATAAAGAAATAAAGCGGGCTAAACGCACATGCTGGCAGAACCTGTGTGACACGCTGGACAACGATATATGGGGTGAAGCCTATAAAATTGCCACTAAGACACTGAGGTCCGAGGCTCCATATAACCTTTGTGTAGAAAAAAGAAAGGAAATTGCGAAAGCCCTTTTTCCTAATAAGCCCGAATGCCAATTTCTACCATATACTCTAGATAATAGACCTGACGAGTTCACCATAGATGAAATAAGATTAGCTGCCGAAAACATAAAAATCGGGAGATCCCCTGGCCCAGATGGTGTGCCACCAGAAGCCATACATATTATGGTACAGGAAAATCCTGAAGTCACCAGAAAGGTATTAAATGAGCTCCTACACAACCAAGAATTCCCAGACCAATTGAAGATTGCAAATTTAGTCTTAATCTTAAAACCTGGTAAACCACCAGACGGGCCTAGTTCATACAGGCCTATATGTTTATTAGATTGTATTGGGAAATTCTATGAAAGCCTCATAAAACGCCGCCTTGAACAGGAGCTCTTAAACACAGGAGCTATTTCTGACCAGCAATACGGTTTTAGAAAAACACGATCAGCTATAGACGCGGTAAAATTTATATGTGATACAGTCAAACAAACAAGAAATAAATGGGCAATCCTTGTTATGTTCGATGTAAAGAATGCCTTCAATTCTGCCAATTGGGCATACATCATAAGGAAACTGGAAACCGCTGGAGTGTCAGACTACCTAATAAATATAATTAAAAATTACCTCACCGACAGATATATTAAAGTGTCAAACAAAGAAAAAACAAAACTATCGGCTGGAGTACCGCAGGGATCTGTATTAGGTCCAACGTTGTGGAACGTCTTGTATAACACAGTATTGGAAATAGATTACGGCAGAGGTGCGTCAGCAATTGCATATGCAGATGACTTAGCAATACTAATAGAGGGTGACACAAACTTGGATGCAATAAATAAAGTTAATATATGCTGGAGAAAAGTTAATAGGTGGATGACAACTAACGACTTACAGCTGGCGTGTAATAAAACAGAGATAATTATATTAAAAGGGCCTAGAGCGATACCCAACCTGACTTTCCAATTTGCAAGTACGACGATAGTCCCAACCAATTGTGCTAAATATCTAGGCATACACCTTGATACAGGTCTACGATTTACCAAACACCTGATAAATGTAGTCCAAGCAGCAGAACGCAGAACAGCGGCCATTATGAAAATAATGCCTAATATAGGAGGGCCAAGTAATTATAAAAGAAGAATGTACTTGCAAATAGTGCATTCGACCCTTTTGTACGGTGCCCCCGTATGGATTGAAGTCTTAAGGTTTGCCAGGTACAAAGACTTGATTACAAAAGCTCAAAGAAAGCCCCTTCTTAAAGTAGTTAGTGCGTACCGGACTACATCTACGATAGCCTTACAGGTGATTGCTGGTACGCTCCCCATTCACCTCCTAGCGAAAGAAAGAGCCATCCTATACAATAACGGCAACGGCCACCTGACACAGGTAAGAGACGAAATTAGGAACCAGATCCTTGATGAATGGCAATCTGAATGGGAGGCACAAAGGGAAAAAGCACAATGGACTAAAATACTAATACCCGATGTAAAAGCATGGTACAAATGTAGGTTCAAGAGAATAAACTATTTCTTTGCACAATTCCTGACCGGACACGGTTCTTTTAGGTCGTATACATACAGAATTAAAAAAACAAATGACGATATCTGTATGGATTGTGGTGTGACTGATGACGCGGAACATTGCATTTTCGAATGTAATGTCTTTCTACAAGAACGTCAAAGACTGAGAAATAAGCTAGGAGAGGTCACGCCCAATAATATACTGGACTTAGCTATGCAGAACAGAAAGAACTATGATTATGTGTTAGAAATAATAACGGAAATCATAAAAAAAAAGGAGACGCTAGAAAGAGCGAGACAGGATGAAGGAATAGGCTGAAAGACTAATAAAATAATTGTAATTCGCGTTTTTTTTTGCTCATTAGACACATACTTCAGCGTTCTGTACTAATTTTATAGTGTAACTGTCCTATTTACTTACTTATATTGTTTTTATACTGTCATTATGTCACTCAGCTACCTTTGAGACTCTACCGAGGACAATACTAGGTTTTCGTGAAAATTGGAGACCGCGGTGGTGCTCCCGAAGTTGCTTTCGCCAAGAAAAGTTCCGGGTGTGCTGCTGGAAGAGAGGGTGAGTTTAGTTGGTAGGCGCCTGAACTAACCTTATCAACATTCCAACGTTATAGTTCAGACGAATCCAACAGTATCTGGGTCCTCTTCCCAGATCTCTTTAGAAGATTCTCATCCAAAAAAAAAAAAAAAAAAAAAAAAAGCTTAATAATATGTTTACCAGAGATCCTGAAGTCTCTGTTAATTGTTGATTAATAGTACTCTGTCATGGACTGAAAAGGATGGCCAAGCCAAAAATGAGCCTGTATCAAAGGATTTAGGTCACAAGGATCATTGAGAAATGGGATGACCATTTCATATTTTCCTCTATTCATACTAAAATTATTTGAAAAACAGCGTAGGCCAGTAGTAAATTGGATAAAACTCTTTTGAAATGTGATTTAATGGTCATGATACCAGCTTCCCAAATCCTTCGAATTTGTGGTGTATAAATGAGTATCAATTTCCAAGAGACGATCTGATTATTGCCTGAATTTTGAATACCATTCTGACTAGATTTGAATAAAAACTAATCAAGTTACAGTTGTTCTATGAATGTAAACATTGGACTTGGTAGTCCACAGTGAATTGTCTTGGTACTGGAACAAACGAAAATCCATGGATGTAATCCACTCCTGGGTTACTAACAGGAAAAGACTATTGAACACAATATGTGGGTAGATTTGGCAAATTCAAAATGTATGTTTGGAGTATTGTATTAATATGAACTAATTTTAATTCAATTGAACATTTATATATCCATAAAATCACAAATAAAACCTTATCCTGTACCCTAACATATACTCTCTCTATCTTAAAATATGATGTTCCTTTGGCATACCATCTTTTCAGGCAGATGAAGTATCTATTCAGATGAGTTTTTTTTTACAATACAATTAAATGCCAAATTGACATTTCCATGAAAATTTTAAAATGTTTTTACTTGGTTCTGATAATTTGAAATTGCTCTTTATTTAATCTGCTTTTAACTCATTACATCATCCAATCGCATAATTATCCTTTGAAATATTTTTTTTTTTACTTTGTATGCAAATAAAAATTGCTAATAAACTTTTATTTTCAGAGTGAAGAACCTACAAGCAAGTTACGCCTTAGAGTCATTTGTGCTAAAAATCTTATGAAAAAGGACATTTTTGGGGCAAGGTTAGTAATATAATACTGCAGTTCCTTATGTTATTTTTGTAAAGATATTCTCTTGAGTTGCTTGATTTGCAAATTGCAATTATTTCTGACATAACTTTTGTTACTACGTCAAATTTAATGTTTATGACCAGTTATAATATTATATTGAATAGCAACCACATCTATTTAAGTCCAATCTCTATTAATATTAACCATTCAAGGGAATGATATAATTACTAATTTAGATGTTTGGTCACTATAACTAATCATCCTGATTTATTAAACTTTTTTCCACCATATACTTATATCTTCTGGGCTAATAAACTTGGACTTCGCTTACTGTTAGTAACCTTTCCAATAACCAATAAAAGTACAAACTGTGGTCGTGGTCACATTAATTTAGATTAGAACTAGACTCAAGCAACCAAGACTTGTATGTGAGAGTAATCAAGCTGGCAACAATTTAAACAAATCATCTGGGACATGTGGTCTACCATAAAGAGGTACCTTAGCAAATTTACAAATAATCTACAATAAAATCGATTGTGCTCAATGAGATATCTAATCAGGAATATATTCAATAAAGATTTAAACAACATGGCTATAAATCACATAGAATCTAGGAAGTAATATATAAGGTAATACATTAAGGTGAAAAATATACTGGGTGGTCAATCGTCAAACGGGCCATAGGAAACTCAATGGGAAATTCTAAATTGTTGAATTCCTGCTTGCCTAATTATTTTACACCAAAAGTCAAGAAAAACTATTAACTATTATAGAGGAAAAAATTTATTTCAAATCCTTTATAAAAGGTATGTAATAAAATGCCCAAACGGGCTATCACAATTATATTACAAAACATTTTCGGATTGTTAAATCCATCATCAGTGTAAACGAGGTACATGCTATGAGCCACCAAAATATATGGGTCAAAACCCTTTAAATTTTATAACTTTACAGTAGTTTGACATTATATATGGTTACAGATTATGATGTTTAAGTTACCGTTGGAATTGGTAACATGGCGACGTATGACCCTACATAGGTAAAATGGTCCTGAGACGAAGTGTCTTCGAGGATCTGTTGATAACAACATTATAGAGGACTAATATATATCGAAAACAAATGTTGAAATTTTTCTATGAATTAAACATATTTCAAAATTTTGCAAGAATACGGATACATTTTTCAGGCCAGCCCTTAAAATTAGGACACACGCAGGGCAAGAATGTGTGTGACATATTGCGTTTGGTCATATTGATGTTTCTGATATTTGACAATATTTGAATTGTCAAAATATTTATTTTGTGATTTAATGTTTAAAAACAATAAAGTTGATTAAAAAATGTACTCAGTTGAGGAGAAAGTAGCAATAATAAAAATGTTTTATTCAGGCAATTTATTTAGCTTAAGATATCTCAGTAGACCAATTCCAAGTCATTCAAGAATTCAAAGGATTTTACACAATGTTGAAAATCACGGGAGACCGTGATTTCTAATTGTACCTATACAAACAATATTACTGAGGTACCAAGAAATTTAGAAAATCAAAATGAAATAAATGTATCAACTGCAGTTCTAGAAAATCTTAGAATAAGTTATCAGATCATTGTAGACCAGTTTAATATTCATATTTCCACGACCTTAAAAATTTTGAAAAGGAATAAAGTCCGTTCATATATATTTCAATGTCATCAAGAACTAAGAGAAGGAGATGCTGAGCGACGAGCGAAATTTTTTTATGAAATTTTAGAGAGTGCTAATGCAGACAGACAATTTTAGTTTAGTGTTAAATGTACCTTTACATTAAATAATGAACCAAATGTTCAAAATTATAGGATTTGGTCGACAAGAAAGCCTCAGGATATTATTGAAAGCCATATCCAATATCGTCGAAAAATAAATGTCTGGTTAGGAATATTTAGACACAATATTATTGGACTATTTTTCTATGAGGAAAATTTAAATTCAAAAAAGTTTTTAGACTTGCTACAAGAGATTTTACCCAGACTTGCAGAAATAGCTCCAGATGAAGAAGAAATTTGGTTTCAAATGGATGGATGCCCTGCTCACACTAACGCGATTTTTTGTGAACTGAGTACATTTCATCAACTTTATTTCTTTATAAACAATATAATTTATTGTTTACAAAGTAATATTTAATGTTCACTAGTAATAATAGTATTTGTGAAACTTTGCTGTTTATAATTTAATCATAAAATAAAAATATTGCCTATTCAAATATTGTCAAACAACTTACATCAATTTGATCAAACGCAACACGTCATACACATTCTTGCACTTCGTGAGGCCTGACTTTTAGGGGTGGCCTGAAAAATGTATTATATTTTTGCAAAATTTTGGAGTATGCTTAATTCGTAGAACAATTTTAACATTTGTTTTTAATACATATTTCAGTCCTCTACAAATAGTTTCTTATGACTTTTGATGTAAAATATTTAAAGAAACAGGAATTCAACAATTTAGAATTTCCCATTGAGTTTCATATGGCCCGTTTGACGATTCACCACCCGGTATTTCTACAAAATACAAATTCCTCAAAACAATAAGATAACTCTTAAGTAAGTAATACTGTATCTCAGTTGGAGTCAAGACATTTAAAAGCATTTCTTATAATAAAACTTAACAATAATTAAGATACGTCGATAGCAATTAAAGTAAACTGTATACCCAGGCTTAAACAAGCCATTCAGAGCGGTACTGAGAATAAACATATTCCACCATGCACCAACAATTTACCCATATAAATTACCATCAATTTTTGTACTCATTGCGTCGAGTAGGGACGATAAATATACGAAGAAGGTTGCGTTTCAATTATACTGGGTATACAGTTTACTTTAATTGCTATCGACGTATCTTCATCTTTCCTCACTAGAGGTCTCTAGTTGCATACTCTGGTAGTTATTTTCATGTAATTGCCAGAGTAATCGGTGCGTTTTGATTTGGTTTGAGTCTTCTTACAAAAAACTCCTTCTGATGACGGGTAGACCCAGAAACACGTGTTAGGGAGTGGTAAGAGACTCAAATTAAATCGAAACGCAACCTTCTTCGTATATTTAACAATAATTATTCATTCATTTCATCAGAGGACATAAAAGAATATAAAAGAATAAAAATATAATCTCATAAGAAATTAAAACTGAGAGAAAGAAGTGTGGCTATCTGTAGCGTCTCACTTTTATAAGATTTATACGAAATTTGCACTAATTTTGCAAAAATGCGAGACAAAGAACCTGATTGTATTTAGTTGATATCTCACAATACGAACCATTTATACAAGGCGAAAAAAACCAAGAAATTATTTTTTTGTCTTAAAAACGGCCAACAAATTTTATATACAGGGTGTTTTCAAAAAATATGTTTTATTTATAATTTTTGTTATAGTTGTTTGTATGATTCCAAAAAGTTTAAATATTGCAAAATGGTAGTTTTTTGGGAATAAAAATACAAAGTGGTTCATAATTCGTTTGAGTTCGGCGTAAATATTTGCTAGAGATCGAGATCTCGGCTACTTTTAAACATTAATTGTGATGATCTGGATAATATGTCACTACCATCAACGTTTATAACAAGTGGTTCAGCATTTGTTTCAATTAGATTATCCATCCGCAACAGTTCCTCTTCTACATTTTCTTGAAGATGTAAAATAGAGTTCTTCCATATTTATGGTGTATTGATGAAATTGAATTATAAAATAGATTTATTGTAATCGAAAAAACTATTTGAATAGTTTTTTCGCACTATAATTTTTAATATTTGCCCAGATGAGTTCTATTGGGTTTAACTCACAGCGATACGGAGGAAGTCTCAATAACAGTTTATTCTGGGTTTTTGCCATTTCATCAATTACGTATTTATCATAAAAAATTTTGTCTTTTACGATTGAAAAATGCTGTATTTTAAGGATAATGTTCATCAAATTTTTATTTTTTGGAACGGAGCCAATTCTGAATATTACTTTTTTTAGATGCACTTGTTCACGATACACTTACAACGGTATGCTACGTTTGGAATAAAAACGTGTCTTTGACGCGCAGTTACGTCACGTTGATGCGTCGAGCTATTGTACGTTATGGTGTGAGATAGTATTTTCAGTGTTTTGAAATCTATTTCGTGGTTTTTAGTAGATCGTTGTTTGTTGTATGTTTGAATTTGAAAAAAAAAAACTATTGTTAACTATCCGATAGGTGATTAAAAGTGCGTGTAAATTATTATACCTATTTAAAAAGCCGTCGTGTACCGACGGAAAGTACTGGAAAAAGAGTTCAATTTATTGCATGGAACGTCACTTTCTATAGTTTATTTTTATGAACGAGAGAGTAATTAGCATAATTTTAACTGGTATCTCCGACCACTCCATGGGCGTGCTCAAGATTAATTGAAAAATTACTTTGAATAATTCTAAAAAATAAATGAATTATTTCAGTGTTATAAAGTGTTATGTGTATGTAAACGAAAGTGACCTCTTTTATCACACACTATATTAGAACTGACTGGCCTACATTAAAAAGGGTTTTAAAAAATTCTATTTTTTTTAATTTTTAAAAATTACAAAAGAGAAAAAGAGTTTTTAAAACCGTCTAAGGTATGTTAAATAGATGAGTAAAAATATTAATATAAAACTTACAGCTACTTGTTACAAATCCAAATCAGATTCAGAAGATGAACTTTCAGAACCAAGATTTATAATAACTGGCTCGATCATTTTATCAGTAATATTGTCCAGCTTCCACATTTTTTTCCTCTTCTTTAATAGTGTGATTTACTGCCTTTTCTCAGTTTTCAGGTTGTACATTATTTACGGCCTCCAAAAACAACTGTTTAACATCATGAATTTTAAAAGTGGTATTTTTTCTTGAAACTTCACTCTTTATCTGTGCCCATACCAGTTCAATCGGGTTTAATTCACAATGATATGGTGGGGATCTAAGTACTGTCATTCCATGATTTTTGGCAATTTCATCAATTTCGTATTTTTTAAATTTTTCTTTATGAAGGGCACACAACGAATAAAGTTCCTTTCTTATAGATCCGGGATGGTACGTAATATTTTTTGAACTCAGCCAATTCTGCAAGTCTTTTTTTAACCACTTGGTTGTGGGCAGTCCTTCTATAAGTCTGGAGTGATAACTTGCATTATCCATTACTATTACACAGTTCTTAGGAAGAAGATCTATCATTTGTTCGAACCATTCTTAAAAGACATCAGCGTTCATGTCTTCATGGTAGTCACCGGTACGAGTTGATTCAAAAGTTAATAAACCACCTTCAACAAAACCGTCTGAACTGCCAATGTGTACTATTATCAGCCTGTGTCCCTTTCCTGATGGTGGGTTTAAACCAGTAGATAAGTTATTTACAAAAGCGTGCCTTTGACTTGTAACAGTTTCATCCTGCCAAAATTTATTTGGTGTATGACCCTCGTTGATCCATGTTTCATCAAGATAAAATATTTTTCTTTTTTGGTTTCTCATTTCCTTTATGGTTCTTAGAAAATGTCTTCTCCATATGACAATATCGCTTCTTTCTAATAAAATAGACTTTCTGGGATTCTTTTTCCAGCGGAAGCCTATTTCTTTTAAAAGTGTCCATAACGTACTTCGACTCATTTCTGGGTAATCCTTATCATCTCGAACTGAGACAAGAACTTTATCCAATGTTGGAAATTTCTTTTCTAAAGAAGAATTCATGCACTTTCCGTCGAAGTCCTTCTTTAAAATGATATTCTATTTGAAATTTTGGTTTCCCTGAAGCATTACGTGGCATTTGAAAACTACCACATTTCTCTTCTTTAATAACTCTGTAAATCGTAAATTTCCCAACACCAAGTGTACTGCTAACTAACTCAACGGTCTCATCAACACTTTCACATAAACGTTTGTCTGTAAATGATTTAAAACAATTAAATATTAATGTTTTTTCATTAACTGTTAAAGGACCAATTTTTCGGCGTTTACACGGCACTTCCAAATTTTCCATAACACTAGTATACACAATAAACTGCACCTTGCAACTGAAGTACTTACTTTTAGTGAACTGTTAAGAATTTTGAATACGCCACTTGGACCTTCCTACAAAATGGAAAAACCCACTATCACATTTTCTGTGGAATAAGTTTAGAATGTAATTATCTAGTCAATTACTGTCGTAGATTCCTGGAATTAAAGAATTAAATGTTTGATTGTTGAAACCCTTACTTCTGTTAAATAAAACGTTTTATTTTATCTAAAGAATTAAACTTTATTTTGCAAATAGGTAGGTACTTATTAAACTTTTATTGGTTATATATAACCAATAAAATAAACATCTTACATTTCTTGCAAATTCATTAGTACCTGTTAACCTCCATCACTCCGACACTGGCAACCTTATTTAGGGATTAGTAACCCTCACAACTATTGTATTCTATTCTGCTCCAACCTTTATACCTGGTGGTCATACTCAATTTAAAATTGTTTTCCTATATACTTCTGTAAACTTGTTGACAAATATCTGTTTTTCATTGAGTCACCCGTATCAACAGTTTAGGGATTTGCATACATAATTTATTGTTTTATTACTCTCCCATACATAAAAATACACTATAAATGGAAAAAAAAATATTTTCATTGATAGCTGACCGTACTGTTGCCATGCTTGGTAATGAAGTAATATACCTTATGAAGTTATTTATTGCCTTAGTCGTACCAGAAGCTACATAAGATTGCGAAAAATTGATAAGCAAATTAGTTTTGAAAATTGTAAAACTGGAAATAAAAATGTTAAAATTAAATTAAAATTTACAAACCGTAAAAAAATAAATAAATACCTACGAAGTATTAAAACATTATTCTGTTAAAGAGCTTTCTATATTGAAATAAATATTCGTAAATTCCAATTACATTGAATATTTTTTTATTTTATTTTTATAAATTCTTTCAAAAGTATTTTTGTATCTCAATATCGCCGTTTCATTTACAACTGTATTCGATTTGAAAATTGTAAATTAGTAAATCGACAATGGGATAAATTAAAAATAAAAACACTCAACCTAACCAACATCAAATAACTTACGATTTGCATCGATGTGACGTCACTGAAGATGCGCGTCGGCATACCGTTTTAAGTGTATCGTGCACTTGTTGGTAGTTTCACTATTTTACGAGAATGGTACGGTGAGTTGTCAAAAACAATGATAGATTTGTCTTCTAATATTGGTAAGACATTGGAAATTTTCACCAATTTTGACCTGTCTCTGACCTGACCATCTCTTCATGTAATCACCTGACTTACTCGACTTAAACGCTCAAAGGGCATTTAGAACAAACCACTCTCACTGCTAATGTCACAAATAATAAGTCTTTTACCTTGTCCTAAAAATTGAAAATATTTGTAAGTTTTGAAATTTGAAATATGTAGAATGTAATAAGTTAGTTAAAGGCTTTTTTAATTCTGTTGTTACTTTATCCATAAAAGCTTGTTTAGATGATTTGACTCTGCCCAGCGTTCAACCATGTCTCATCCAGATAATAAATTTTGCGCTTTTTTTTTCTTTATAAGTCCTTATCTGTTGAAGATATTCTCGTCACCATACCAAATGTCATCTCTGTCTAAGAAAAGGGCGTTTCTTCTCTTGCGGGGATATTGAAAATTAAGTTTTTTTAATATATATTCTAATAAATGCAGTTTTAGTAAAATTTGGCAAATCATGGTCATCGTTCACCTCCTTTAAAATCACATCCAGGGTGGGTATTTTGTTTCTCATGAAAAAATTATGAACCTATCTTCTAATTGCATTTTTATCAAATTCATCTATTTTATCAAACTTTTTTTTTCCGAGTCAGACATACTTTTGGTCCAGCGAACTGATAATTAGTTTTATATTCCTTAATCACCGTAAATATACTTCGATCACAAACTCCAACTTTACTCGCCACTTTTTTTACAATCTCTTCAACCACCAATCTGGGATTTTCTGTTGTTTCATATTTAAATACATTTAAAATTATTTCTTGCACTTTAGAACTAAGGGGACGTCTTGTAGTTTGTTTTTCATTCTTAGCAAAATTAGTGTCAAAATCACAAAAACATTACTAACAAATCGATTCAAAACACAACACTTCACTACCAGAATAGTTAATCTGGTCCGAGCCTGTATTAGTTGCCGACGACGTAGGGTAGTAATTTTTGCACCAAAATAGAGATATGCATAATCGCTTAGATTATTCATTAATTTAATTAATATTATTTTTTCACTAACTATTTATTGAGTAATTACAATAATTTATATACTATACAATAAAATGTAATAATCGAGAAAAGAGAAAAATTGATAAAGTGATCTTGATCTTAAATTGATAAAGGTAATTGTTATAATTCTCTAACCATGAAATGTTTTCTTTTAGTGATCCATATGTAAGAATTGATTTAAATAGCGTTAATGGTGATGAAACAATTGATTCTGTCCTTACAAAAACAAAGAAAAGGGTAAGTAAACCATTTAAATTTCTTATTATGAACATTCAAGACAAACTTAATACTTCAAAATCAAGTCACCGCTGACTTTTAATTTCACTTTTGCTGTAAATTGATGTGTATAAGAAATTAATTCAATATTTTCCCTATTTTTAAAGATTTTGTTTTTGCCGGGTCCAGACCAAACAGACAAAACAAAAACATTCATGTTTCGCGACAAAGTGGCGACAAATCGAAAACATTTGTTGAGACATTTCTGAACAATTTTGTTTTGTTTGCAAATTTGAAAACTTTTTCAGGTCCCGTCTCAGGTCGGTAAAGATCAAAAAGTCTGTGTTTTGTCTGTGTATTTGACGACAAGTTGTCGGCGCAGTGTGGACGCGTGTTCGTGCCAAAACGAGTTAAGCAGTAGGAGAAATAGAATGTACAATTTTTATCAAAATTAAGTGTATTTTTCTGTTACTTAGTCTCAACACAAATGTTCACTCAACTCCAACCCACATTTGTACTCAAATCCACCCAGCACTGACACACAACATTCATACTCAAATCCTCCCAGCATTGACACACGTTCATACTCAACTCCTCCCAGCATTGACACACATTTATACTCAAATCCACCCAGCATTGAACATTTATACTCAAATCCACCCAACACGCAACATTCATACTCAAATCCACCCAGTGCTGACCCACAAAACTATTACTTAAATCCACCAAACACCAACACACAACCTTTATTTTCACATCCACCTAGTATTGACACAGAGCTTTCTCAGTGTTCAGATCAAGAAAACGAACGAAATTGATAATGAAATTCTTTTGTATTAAACATTTAACCAATAAATATGGAGTTTATTTTAAGGGATATTAACAGAAAAATAGTAATGAAAAAAGTTTAACATACCTGTACATAACCACTAAGACTGTTAATTAAAGCTTTACATACTTCAGGTATTATTACAGATATTGATTGCTTTGACACTTTTGAAAGATACATTAGGCTGTGGTAGGAATCACCTGTTGCTAAAAATCTTAAAGTGATTGCTAACCTTTCTGTTACACTCATAGCATTTCTAAAGTTAGTATGTCTTTTTGCAACTGCAGGACCAGCAAGGCATATTAGATTCTCAAAATCTTCGGTGGACATTCTTAAAAATTTTTTGAAGTTTGATCGAATTTCACCACTTAGTTCAATATCATCTGCTCGCAGCTGAACTAACAATTTGTCTATCGAACAACTTTCTCGCATTTTTAGGCTTGGTCTAATCCAATAACGTTTGGGTTTTCTTTTAGCAGCCTGGGATGATGATGAGAGCAAAAAAAACTTGCGACTAGCAATAAATCTTCAGTTTCATTTTTTTCTTGATTAAAACGCCACATGGTTAACCAACACTAATCACAACAACAACGTCACCAACTGAATTTGTTTTTATATTTTGTTATTCTGGTGTGGACAGTTTGTCTCAATTTTGTTTTGTCTTTTGACGGCAAATTTTGTCGCCGGTTTATCGTGTTTTTGTTTCAGAATTGTGTTTTCGTTTTGTCTGCTTGGTCTGGACCCGGCATTTAGAGACAGTGCTAATTTCCCTAAAATTAATTTTGGTGATATAGGTTAAGGAAAAGTATAATTAGATTTGCTATATAAAATACTATTTTAGTAAGTATCTTGATGGAAGTTCTCATTAATAGAAAACCATATTTTTCTTAGTAGACATTCATAGAGACTACATTAAAATACTATATGGAATGGCATCAGAGGAACTTAAAAATAGTTTCATATAAAGTTTGTTTAGCAGAAAATGGTTGACTTCAATTAGTGCGGTCCTAAAAATTATTATGTATCTGACTTGGCCCATTGTTAAGACCTTGTACCTCAGGTAAACCATTGTTATCTGAAACATTGTTACTATTATCGGCTAACCCAGGATGTTTATAGTCGATACTAATTGAAGTCAACCCTTTACTGCTAAACAATTTTTCTGATAGCCTCTTTAAACACCACTCTCAATTTTACAGTAGAATTCTGGTAATGAATCATCTGAGTTTGCAATCTCTTGAGACCCGTACAGATCAATTCTATATATTCTTCATGTATAGAAGTTGAACAATATAACCTACAATGCAATTGGGATAACTCATTTTTAATGTTGTAACTGCTTTTTGCATAACACCACCCATTTAATATTCACACACAAAAAGATATCATATAGTGCCAAACGTGTACTGTAGAGAGAGGTACCGGTTATGCAATGTATGATCTACTCCTAAAATTCTGTAAAAAATTTAATGTTTAAGTGACTGAATAAGGTTCCTATAATCGTAATCTAATACAATGCCGTGCTGTCTAGCGTTTCGACAATCTAACAGAATACAAACTTCAGTAGGATATATTAATATGTACTAAGATTAATAATACATTTTTATTTTCCAGACTCTTAGTCCTGAGTGGAATGAGGAATTTATATTTCGGGTAAGTAACTGTAAAGGGAAAAAGCATATATTTAAAAAGAAAAAAATTTAGCAAATACAAAATCCCAGCTATTGCCTAAAAACGTAGAGATAAAGATTAATTTATTTACGTTTTGAAACTCGGTAATATTAAATATGTTCAAGCTACGATCTAAACGACCACAATATATATTGGTGTGGTTTAAACTCACAATTTTGTGGGAGGAAGTTCCAGGTTTAAACTTTTTTGTAAGCTTCTCATCGGAAGTACATCTAGTAAACTTAGTCCTCTTAGACGCGTGTGTTGCATCAATTCTCCCTCGCAGAGTAGTTGGTATGACGACCTTACGAAGGTCAACATGCTCATGTTCCTCAGCTTTCTCCTTATGAACTGACTGAACTGAGGGGTCTAGATTTGAAGTAATTGTAGGAGTAGGAGACAGTCGAGTATCCCACATGCACGTGTAGCCTTTCATGCGACTAACACGAGGCGATTGATCCAGCCAGAACGTCTCGAAGGAAAAGTGAAATTTCCTGTATCGGTGATAATTTGGCGTTGTTATCTAATGGTTGATGAATGATAACTTATGGCCACCGTTTGGTTCAATACTTTTTCAGCTCTTTTATATGTCATATTGTCAATTCTTTGGAGAGATTCTTATCTAGCATTTACCCCAGTGGAATAAAATTTGGATATTAAGCACCCCATGATCAACTGGGTTAAAATTGGGTCCACTTATAGGTCTGTCATGAAGATCGCTATTGTCTATCCCATGGTTTGGAAAATTTTCATTTAAAAAGTCTTTCACACTTGGCCTGAAATAAGGTGCAGCCAAATCATGTTGAAAGTTTATTCATAGAAGATAACACTTGCGTTATCTATCAGAATGTATCAAATATTTTACAGGAATTCCAAATAAAGGTTACCAATTATTTGATAAGATATGAGTGAACTAAACAAATATTATTAACATTATCACCAAACTTTAACCGAAAATTTAAATTGCGAATATATATATATATATATATATATATATATTGTTATATGTAAAATCGAGAAAAATATTGGTTTGCTTAAAATATTTCAAAGTTCAAAAAAATTAAAATAATTCAGATAAGTCAAACAATAAACCACAAACATTTCGTAAGATATGCATAAATTATTTTCTTTGTTAAAATATATTTGAGTGACCTGCGTTAGCTTAAGTGAAATCCTAGACAATGGAAGCGGGTTTTCCAAATAAATTTGTGCGGTAATTAGGACAATAGAATAGATTTTAGAAAGATATGTTTTTGATAGTTCATAAGAATTGGTACAAAAAGATTATTTTGTAAATAAGTTTTAGGAAATTTTATAATTGTAGGTAAAAATTTGTTTGTGTTATCGAAATGAAGAAATGGGAGATGTATGACGCGTTTTGATTGGATGAGATTGAAAAAGGTGGGATGGTTGGTTTGTGAATGAGACGTTAGTTAGTTTTGGAAGAAAAAAATGATAGTCAGTTGGTTTCCAAGGGCACAAGGCGAACGGCCGTTGTTCTCGGGTAGTTTCCCAGAGGTAGGAAGCAGTAGCAGTGAAAGTTTGTGAGTTTTCGTGTAGTTAGTTAGTTAGTGAAGCTGATCCAGTAAAAGATTGTAAGTCATATTTTTCTACTTATATTCCAAGAGTCACTGTTCAGGCCAATGAGAGATTCAGTTTATCGTAAAGAGAAGATATTCCAAGAGTCATTTTTCACTCAGGCCAACGAGAGATTCAGTTTATCGAGAGGAGAAGAGGCTAGCATAATTTGAACGATTCGTGCATTTGAAGGAGATCATTAAGGACGATAAACTTGCAACAATTTGTTGTAAGATTGCTGATTACCTAGGGAGCTGCTAAGAATAGATAGTATAGGCTACAAGGAACAAGGATTTGGACCACTCATAATCAGAAAGAGATAGTTTTGTTTTTCTGCAGTTTTTCTTTTATTGATAACACAATTTTTACAATTACTTTAGAAAAGATATAAATATTTTGATTAGGAGATTTAGAATAATAATTGGGATTTTGAGATTTTAACTAATATTGTTTGTACCATTAATTTTGAAGGTTCACGTACGTAGAACAAAATTTTGAGTATCATTATATGAGATATTGTTTATTGAAAACATTTGAGTGTGAATTTTATTTCATTATTTTTATTTCAATATATAATGTTATTAATTACTATTTATAACTGGGAATAAGCCACAATTAAAGATAAAAATACGTTTATTGACGTTTCAATTTCCAATTCGGAAATCGTTCTCAAAATACAAACAGTAAATTAAACAAATTTTGTTTTTTGTTACATAGTGAAAAAATTCTTCTAATAATTTAATTTTATCTGACTCATTTATATTGACAATTCAGACATACATTATGCATTTTAAAGTAGACGACTTTAAAATGATATTGCCAATATTGTTGAGTTGCGCTCCTGGGACGACTTTACTTATAAGATAGTTCATTCGATTACATGAAATCAACTTTAACTTGAGAATATCCGTCAGAAAAAATCATAGCATCTAATTCGTCTTTAAGAAGACAAACACATGACATGATGACAGTAAAATTCTCCTGTTAGTGATTCCATAGTAAATTATGAGGGAAATATTGGTTATAAAATAAATAGAAAACTCAACAATATTGGCAATATCATTTTAAAGTCGTCTACTTTGTTATAATGTTATATCCTATATGTTTTTTATTATTCCGGTATTCTTTGGACCTTACCTTTCACATGTAAATCATAGATATTGAAGCACGAATATAACCCTGAGATAAGAGAATAAAAATTGTGATAGAATCATAATCATATCATTTAAATAATTTTAATTAATTAATTAATTAGCGAATTAATTGCTTGGCGCACTAAGACTTTGAATATCACAATAATATATATATATATATATATATATATATATATATATATATATATATATATATATATATATTGTAGTTTTGAGTTTCTTGAACCGTATTATATATATATATATATATATATATATATATATATATATAAATAATAATCCAAAGATTAATAAATTAAACAAATTTTGTTTTTGTTGATAAAAAATTCTTCTATTCTTCTAATTTAATTTTATATGACTCATTCATATTGATTATGCAACATATATTATACATTTTAAAGTAGATGAGTTTCGTTGCTGAGACGACTTTATTGGAAGATAGTTCATTCGATTACATAAAATCAACTAACTTAAAAACACTCGTCAGAAAAATTGTAGCATTTGATTTGTCTTTAAAAAGACAATCACATGCAATGCTTACAGTAAACTTCTCATGTTAGTGATCCCCTAGTTAATCATGAGAAAAAATCTCATAATACTATTCCAACGTGGTAAGCATTTGGCCTTACATTTAGTTTACTCTCAATATTAACACCAAACTCTGATTTTATATGTATTTTATTTGAAAACAAATGATGTATCCTCTACATGTTATTGATTTACTAATGGTATTTTCTTTCGATCGACTTCATTGTTTAATATGGGTAAAAAGATCCTACTGCATTCTGTCGAGGAATTTGCGGCACAATTGGTTTCATTTAACATAATTAGAGCCGTTTCTTTGATAGTGCTACATTTACCATGTTTCGTTCAGGACTATACTTGAATCTATGTTCATTTTCCTAAGCGTGTTTACATATTTGAGATCTGACAAATTCTCTATTTTTGATATAAGATTGATGTAGTTTTGATTAGATAATTTACATTAATCTATTTTTACTTTCAGGTTAAACCAGGAGAGCACAAGTTGGTATTACAAGTTTTTGATGAAAACCGGTTAACAAGAGATGATTTCTTGGGTATGGTTGAACTTCCCTTGCTAAATTTACCAAAAGAACAACCAGAAAGAAATATACCACCTGTCAAGTATTTGCTGCAACCCAGGAGGTAAATAATAAGGGTTGCTATTCATTTTCTCCTACAAATTCCATTACTCATCATCATCAATAATATTACTATATTGGTCTTAAACCACTGAATAAAAAAATTCCCAAACAAATATCTGACATATCTTTATAGTCACTATCATACATACATTGTTGAAGAAAAACCCGGGCCACATTGGTCCTTTCGTTGTGTAACATTAAATATTGTGTCATAAATGTTAAGAACTGTATATGGTACTAAAGTTTCTGCAAGAACAGTAGACGTGAAGGTAGAGGTGTTATTTTCAGACAATAATTGTGAAAAAAGGATAAATTAACTCCAAGGTAGATTATTTACCGACTGTATATTACACACATATCGTTGTTCTCTACTTGTTATGTCTGCACAACAATGCTTGTCCACAAATTTCAAATTTGGCAAGGATTTCCACGGGTTTCGAGTTAATAAAAAAAAAACAATTAAATTATTAACGTAAAGCATTATTATCATGCGTATAAATTTACTATTTACTTGCCAATTTCATAGTGTCAAAGGAAAGATAGATTTCTCATTTTAGACCTTGGAATCTTCATACTGCAAGATAAGTTAATAGCAGAAGACCTCAATGTAAAGTCAATACTTTGAGCAGCACCGGCAAACAATAAAAGGGTAGACGCATGGGTTGAAGTAATTCAACTATGAACTGGATCATATTAAATAGCGGAAAGCTATCATTCGAAAAAGAGATAGCCAAACGCATATCGACGTAATGTTGGCAACGATCCCGATTAAAAGAAAAGTATAAGAATGAGTTATAGTAGAAAGGAAATCTTCACATATCATAAATATATCATATTCAAAATAAGGGAAAACATGAAAAAATCAAGGGACGGGAGATGAATCAAATTCATTGACAAGAAAAAAATAAAGGAAGAGTTACAGGGAATGGGGGAACACCTAAATAATTTTGAAGATGTGTAAGAATTAAATCTTTTAGCGAAAGCCGCTATCGCTGTATGTATTAATTGCTGTATGTATCGCTGTATGTATTATTACAGAAAACGATTATTCATATCGTTTCGTTCACGGCCTTCAAAATAGAGGGCGCCTTTATAAGCTAACTACACGGTAGTGAAGATTGGGAGACATTCGTTTTACTTTCCGTGTTTGAATTTGTATCAGCCCAAGTGTCTGACGATGGCTGGGATAGGCCGAAATGATCATAACACTTTAGTGATACCAATTCGAGCACGGGAAGTTTAACGAATTTGTCTCCTAGGCCATATAGTTGGCCATTTAATAATTTTGAAGATGTATATGAAAAAATGAAGGGGTTAACCAAGAGATGTTGCCTAAGGGGAAGAAGAATTAGTACCCGCCCATACTGGTGGGCAGATAACATAGAAGTTAACATATAAGAATAGATTACAACTAGGAGAATTAAGATGAAAAGTTGCCAGAGACAGAAAAAAGAACCGACTAGTAGAAAATGAAGACTAAAAGCTGAGGCTGAAAGACTAAAAGCCTTAAGTAAAGAACTAACCAGAGAAATAAACATCGAAAGGAGAAGGTGTTAGAAATAACTATGGGAAAACTTGAAAAATAACATCTGAGGTGACTTATACAGCATTGCAGCTTTGCACCTTCTTTAAAATAGAGGACAGCCGCAGGAGAGAACTAGCGGAAGCACTGTTTCTTCGTATACTTACGTTTTTAAATAATACCTATAAAGGCACCAACAAACTATATTCGGTTGCGGGTGAGAATAGAAGATATACATGCACTGTATATTTAGCTGCTAGAACTTTTCTTTATTAAAATCCCCAAGAATAAGAACTACACGAGTGGTTCACGCGAGTGGTTGTTTGTGAGTTTTTTTCTTGCATTCTGTAGTGGAATAATTACGGATGTTGTCCAATCAGTAGGCCATTTCATCGATGTCCATATGAATTAACATTAGTAGTATATTACTTTTAAACGAGTCATCTCCATATTTTTTTATCGCTTCAAATTAAATTGCATCTACGCCAGCAGACTTGTTCTGTGCTATTTTCTTTATAGCAGCTTCAGTTTCTTTTAACATAATATCCGGTTCTTTTTCATAATAATTTTCATTGATATTTATTTCAAAAATTATATCGTCGGTCAGATAGCTCAGCGGGCTGTGCGGCTGCCTCTCATTCGCTTCACTGTCGAATGGTTTAGTGGATGTGAGTCGAGCCGCAGCCCGGTGTACAGAAAACAAAAAGTCTAACGCAGCAGTTTAAAATTCTAGATGAATCTGCGGCTTAGACTAGGATATGCTGGGTTCTGATCGGCCTATGGTGGAGCAGTACGGCAAGAGATAGGGCTTGCGGCTCGGTGATACTCCTCCATAGATCCCTACCGGACGGGCGTAACCCCTAAAAAACCGGATATATATATATAATATATATATATATATATATATATATATATATATATATATATATATATATATATATATATAGTATCGCTCGAATATAGTTGTTCACAATAGTTACGCCATACCTGTACTACTTCGTCTATATATCTGTTATCAATGAATTGTTATCTTTATATAGCGCCACCGACACCCGATAAGCCTTTTATTTAGCCTCGATTAATTCAGAGCTCTTGTATCAAGGTGACTTCAAAACCTATAGCAATGGTAAGTTCTGCGGAACTTGACTTGCACTGCTGCAGGCTCGCCTACAGGGCCCACATTGGGTTCATTGAGACCTTTTTTGGGACAGAGACAGAGTTCTCGAACGGTGACGCCTCTCCACTCGTACCTTCTAGATTTTTATTTCTAAATTTTAAAAATCATTAAGTTTTGAGTCTTCTCTTTGGAACCATTGGTGAACCATATTCTATATTTTATTCCACGAATCTGGCAAGTTAGTGAGCCAACACCTTATCATAATATCACTAGCTCTCTGGAAACTCTTAAGCAACACTTTTCCCCCTCTGCTATGTATACCATGGGAAAGATAGTGTTACACCTCGGTATTGGGAGGTGCAATAGTCGAATCACAATTCTTTAATATGATAAGTCAAGTGTGAGTGTGTGTGTGTGTGTGTGTGTGTGTGTGAGTGCGCGCGCACGCATGTGTGTGGTGTGTTGAATTACTGGCATAGCTGTATGTCATGTTCTCAGTTGATCTACAGATTTATATTTGGTTATACTTCACTCAGATTTGTCCATCGTACATTGTGACGGTTGGGTGTAAGAACTCAACCCAGTGTATTAATCACTGCACTAATCCTAACCAAAAAAATTATAGTCGACTCTTGTTCACACAGGGTCGAATTTGCCTATTGCCGCAAACATAATCTTCTGTGTTTTCCGTGCTTGTTTTCAAGCGTTGGATATCGTCTTATGAACAAGCTGATGCAATCGATTCTCAATCGGCAGCTAGATGAAACAATTCCTCGACCGTTCGGCCTGCCCATTGTCTAATGTTACGCAGCCAGGACAGTTGCTTTCTTCCGACTCAACGTTTTCCTTTTGCTCTGAATGATCAACCGAAGTAAGCGATATTTAGGTCCTCCCATTATATGGCCGAAGTATTGAACCTTCCTTATTTTGATGATGTTGTCCAATTCTCGCTCTTTTTGCATGGTCTCTAGCACACGTTTGTTAGATATGTTAGATATGTGTGCTGTACACGGGATTCTGAGCATGTGACGGTAACACCACAACTCGAACGCTTCTAATTTATTAAGATTTTATATTTTTGTTGTCCAGGTTTCACATCCATTGAACAAAGTGGACCAGACGTAGCACTTCAGTACTCTTAGACGTGTTGTCAATGACAGACTTCTACTGCACAATAGAGAACGCCAGTTAATAAAGCTTTTTCGTGCAATTTCTATTCTGGTCGTAATTTCCTCGTCACTTTCAATGTTGCGGTCAATCCAACTACCCAGGTATCTAAAGTGTTCCACCCTTTTAAGGACTTTGTTATCTAATTTTAGTATTGAGTATTCGATATTAATATTTCCGACCACCATAAAATTTTACCAATACAACAAACATAGTAAGTTATATGAATCTTGTACAGACTTAACAGCATAAAGTTGAATCATTAATGATGTCTAATGGATTTCGTAGGAAAAATGGTATATTTAAAACCGTTTATTTCCGCTTATATTTTTAATCTACAATCCAAACTAAGATCTTTGCACACTTATAAATTGGAATATATAATAAAATTATTAAACTAATTTTTTGTAAATTAATGTTTTTCTATATTCCAATTTATTTCTCTTTAAAGAAGTGTCATAGATTCAATAAAAAACCTTTTTACGGAAAATATCTTCATTAAATGCCTTGGATCTTTTGCAATTTATGTATTTTTAATATCGATCGTACTTTCAGTAGTGTCATACCCATTTTGACCATAGGCTCCTTGGATGCCATTCGCTGTCCATATTCGTGATTTCAACGAACTTTATTAACGTAGGGGCCTATGCTCCAGTAACTGGATATCATTCGATACAATACCAATTATCCTCGAATTAATGAGGACTTAATTAGGAGGAATTAATGATTAAAACACAGATTTGCTTTCAACTGTTTTCAACAAATTTTAGTTGAAAATATATTTATATTGACGTTTCAATTTCTACTTCGGAAATTGTTGTCAAAATACCAATTATATTCCAATTATTCAATATTAAAAGTATGTTTTCTACAAAATGCAATTTTATATGGTGTTCCATTAAAAAAAAGAGAAAATTTTGTATTTGAAAATAGTGATTAAATTGTATATTGTATGGCTAGGTTTTAAAGATATTAAATTATTTAAAAATAACACTACACTATAAAATTTTTGACATTCATTTACATTTTTATTACCTTGGAAGTCTAATCTACTGCCCTTTAAATATTACCGTTTTACTCAATCAAAGTGTAAATATTTCAAAAACTTATTTCAAAATTTATGTACACATATGATGTTAATTACAGACATTGCTAAACTATAATTACACAAATGAAGTGTCGTTCAGCAAACGAC